TACATGGGAGCTGTGAGCAGCTACAGAAACCCAAGACCCTCCATGGCATGTCACTGATCCCAGGACTGTGGAACTGGATTACTGAGTATTTGGACCAATGTGATAATAACTATCTCAAAACATCACTTTCTAAAGGTGAAGCAAGCTTGCATTGCCATCAATATCAGGAGTCAGCAAAGCAAACACAGTGAGAAGCAAAGGATGTGTGACAAACCTCACTTGCATCTGTGACTTAAAGAATAGGTTTTGGACTTAAGATACAACAGCAGGCAGGGAATAAAGGAAATCCTCCATTTGGATACTTGTAATTCAAAAGGCCTAAATTTGTTATATTTACATTTAATCTTTTAATCTTGGAAAAGTTATCTCAGTGTTACAGTTCCTACATGGAGGTTTTCATTTCATTACAGAATAAAAGCCAATGCCTGGCTAAGAGGGGCAGAATCCCTTATTAAGAGACAGGATACATTAAACTTAAACATGAGCCTCTTGAAGTAATTATCCAAAATACTTTTACATCTAAAATATTAAGCTCTTGATTAAACAAGCAGAACATACTTTTGATGATAATTAAAGATGAGCTTCAGCCAAAATATTGGATTTGTATTTGGGCCAAACTAAACCTTGGATGAAAACTCTCACTCTCATTTTGTTTTGACACGTTCTGATCCAAACTGTTTGGGCTCTAAGCCACCATTACTAACCAACTCAAGTTGCTTTACTTGTTGCATGTAAGCTTGCAAAACTGCTCGTAACCAGCCAGAGAATTCCTGTTGACAGATCATATTAGACTGGTAAACTGAGACACAAAGTTAAAAGCCCTTTTTTTCAGAACTGAATGTCAACTTGAGGCATCTACTTCTTTGGGCAGCCAACAGACAATTTTCTTCCTGTTGCTGCACAGTGTTTGCAGCTCCAAAGTAAGCTCTGCAGCTTCCCATTAGCTCTGAAAATTGAGGTTTAGGAGTCCCATGTATGATCCAACTGAAAAGCAGCATTTAAAATGCAATCCTCTCTGGAAAACATGGGTCTAGCTTCCTTTTCTAAATTCATATGGCGAGTAATTTCTAGGATAGGAATAAAATCCCTCTAAAATTCTTAGTTGCCATCCTTAAAAATCACAAAAAGTTGGAGAGTCAAGATCTTTCAGTTGGATAAATGGCTGCATTCAACCCCATGGATCCAGCAATACAATCAGGGTAATGACCTGCTGGCAGTTCTCTATAGCACTAATAAAACATAAATATGATTGAGTCACACAAACTATTTTTTTTTTTCCCATCACTCCTGAGAGGAGGAACTTAGCTCATGACTGTGAAATGTACTTGAGAGATTAGACAATGAACACTGGTCTAGTGGGAGGTGTCCCTGCCCATAGCAGAGGGGTTGGAAGTAGATGATCTTTAAGGTCTCCCTTCCAACACAAACCATTATCTGATCCTGTGAAGCAGTTCTGATGAGAGTATTTTTTTAATTAATTTTAATTAAATATTTTCGTTATTTTTATTGTTTTATAAATTATTTACATTAAATAAATTATTTAATTTATTTTAATTTTTTTAAAACATACCTTCAGAATTGGACCAGACCAGCTACTCCCTCTGCAGTTTATCCTGTCTAATATTGTAGATGATTGAGGACATTTAAAATGTCCTCAGTCTGTCACCAGCATAACTTCCAGCAATCTTTGTACTGAATAGCCTTAAATGGATTTTTTTTTTCCTCATGAATTTACCTAATCACTTTCTAAATCCTGTTTCATGCAGCACCATGAGAAAGATAATCTAATTTTGATCTCTGTGACATGTAATACAAAAACAATAGGAGGCCCAGGAAAGAATTGAACTTTTTTTTGCCAACAGATATTACAAAAGCAGGCAATTACTCCAGTCCAGTGATGAAGAAAATAACTAAAGCCACTCATTACAACACAATTCAACAGTTCCTGCTTTGAAAAAGAATGTATTTAAGGTATTTTTGCAGCTTAGAAAAAAGAAACAAACAAAACAGAACACATCTATAGTCACATTTTTAAGCTTGTGATATGGATGTTTCTCTCCTCAGTGCCATGCTGTGAACTTTGAGGTGTGTCCCTTTGCACGGTCCTACTGTCCACATGTGGTTAACTAAAAATCCTCCTAAACCCAAAAATCAGTCATGAATGAGATGAATCAAGATAAATGCTCCCAGGGTGTTGCTACTCTGCTTAGAACAAGAGAATTGTCTCAAACACACGTCCCTTCTGTGAATTTATGCTACATGTGCTCTATCAAATGACTGGGCTCTATATATTTTGCAACCTTTGCACACCATCACTGTTGCAATCTCCTGCAACGTTTGGAACATTGAAGTTCTACACTTGCAGGTTTGTTGCCATCGTGTCCTAAATTGATTTTCAAAAGTAAAGAGAATTTTCCTTGTTTAAATATAGGTGAAATATCCCTTTTAATACGCTCTCCCCTAATCAATAGACATATAGGCTCTAGGGTTTGTTGGTTTTTTTGCATGCCTTGCATCCTATTTAATAGTTCCAGCTGTTCAGAGTGCAAATAGTTGAGTATATTCTACACACATTTATGAAGCTCTCTGTAACTGGAGTGGGAACTGGTGAGATTGCATACACCTTTCTATTTATTCAGGCTTCCAGAAAATGCAAATAGCCAGAGCAAATTATGCTCTTAAAGGCTCCTTTTAGATGTCATTAAGATGAGTCTTTTTCTCTCCTCTACCTGACAAATTTAAATAAATTTTCTT